AAGATGGTCGACTGGCAGGCATCTTGTTTTTTGTTTTTTTATGCGGTATCTTGGAAGTGCTCTGTCAGGTTTCATTCAAATTTGGCACATACATGTACTTTATACATGTTAGGATGCATGTCCATGACAATTTGTTTCAAAATTTGGTCAAGGATGGCCGATTGACAGCCATCTGACTTTTTAGCTCCGCTGTCGACTTTGTCGAGCGGAGCTTATCATATGAGTGATTGTCCTCCGTCGTCCGTGTCAATGTTTTACTTTTTTGACTTCTTCTTGAAAACTACAAGCCTGAATGCTTTGATACTTGGTGTATATGTACCTTGGGTAGACCTCTCTCAGATTTGTTCATTTTGTAATGATATCTTTAATTCTCTAATTTTGGTGAATATTTTTGTCATTTTTGGTAAAAAATGCTATTTTCAACTTCTTGTTGAAAACCGCAAGTCCAATTGCTTTTATATTACATACATAGGTACTACATGTGGACCTCTCTCAGATTTGTTCATTTTGTAATGATTTCTTTAATTTTGGTGAATATTTTTGTCATTTTTGGTAAAAAGTGAGATTTTCGACTTCTTGTTAAAAACCCCAAGTCTGATTGCTTTTATATTACATATATAGGTATTACATGTGGACCTTGTTAATTTCGTGGTGATATCTTCAATTACTTAATTTTGATGATTATTTTTGTCATTTTTGGTGAAAAGTGATATTTTTGAATTCTTGTTGAAAACAGCAAGTTCAATTGCTTTGATATTACATATATAGGATACTACATGTGGACCTCTCTCAGATTTGTTCATTTTGTAATGATATCTTCAATTCTCTAATTTTGGTAAATATTTTTGTCATTTTTGGTAAAAAATGATATTTTCAACTTCTTGTTAAAAACCGCAAGTCCAATTGCTTTGATATTACATACATAGGTACTACAAGTGGACCTGTCTCAGATTTGTTCATTTTGTAATGATATCTTTAATTCTCTAATTTTGGTGAATATTTTTGTCATTTTTGGTAAAAAGTGATACATGTATTTTCAACTTCTTGTTGAAAACCGCAAGTCCAGTTGCTTTTATATTACATACATAGGTACTACATGTGGACCTCTCTCAGATTTGTTCATTTTTAATGATATCTTTAATTTTGGTGAATATTTTTGTCATTTTTGGTAAAAAGTGAGATTTTCGACTTCTTGTTAAAAACCGCAAGTCAGATTGCTTTTATTTACATATATAGGTATTACATGTGGACCTTGTTAATTTCGTGGTGATATCTTCAATTACTTAATTTTGATGATTATTTTTGTCATTTTTGGTGAAAAGTGATATTTTTGAATTCTTGTTGAAAACAGCAAGGTCCTTTGCTTTGATACTATACATATTGTTCATTTTCTAATGATATCTTCAGTTCTTTAATTGAAATGTGCATTGCTAACAGCGGAGCTATCTCAGCCGACAGGCTGCTTGTTGGCCTTACTACTATATTTCCACAATTTATGTACCATTTTCATTCGTATTTGGCACATACATCATACATATCAGTGTGTTTCATAATCAGATCAAAGATGGCTGAATAACAGCTGTTTTTATTTTGGCCATATTACTATGACACAAAACACATGTTTTGATGTAAATAAACAATCTGTTGTATACGCCACTTGGAACTCAAGTTTCAAGGACACGCTCGCGACAACCCCTCCGCTTTAATATGACGAGCACAAAGAGAACTTAACGGGGACTGTGTCCATTTTCAATGACTTGTTTATAATAATGCATGCATATCTGTATATATGTATAAGCCCTGGTCTGCACTTGCTATCTTGGAGAATAAGTCACATGTGATGATTATTACAATGAATACATACATGGAGTGAATTGTGTAATTTTGAGTTTTATATTAGACTGTCAGACTTTAGCCGGGTTACATGTAATGCGTGAATCTGTGTGTCCCAGCCTGAATCTTGCACAGGTCTGGACCGATCACATTAAATCTTAACCGTGTACATGTACATCATGCATCTTGCAATACTACGCACGTCCATTAGTTTCACGGAACGGCCAAATGGTGACCATTTTTGTGCTCATCAAAATCAAGCATTTCTTCCATTTCAGAACCGGATCCAAATCTTGGCCATTTGTGGGTGGATTTTGTTCAAATTTTCGTACATACATTGTACATTATAAATATACAAATATCATGTTTTTTTCAGATCGGATTCAAAATTGCTAAATGGGAGCCATTTTGTTAATCATTGGTGTTTCACAGACAGTCATGCAGTTGAATGCAAATGACAAATTTGCTGAGTGCTAAGTTTTCTTGAAGAAAACACCGCTAAAATATATATTTGTTGTGCTTAGATTTTAAATATTTCTAGGTGTTCCGATGGAGAACTGGTGCCAGTATTGCCTGGGCTATAATCCTTCTACCATTGTTCACGTCTGTCTACGTTGTCATTGCTAGAATTGACCCTTTACATCCTTATACATGGATCATTGGTAAGTTGAGTTCTACAAGAACCAGAATTTACTTTCTATTTCCTAATCGAAGTAATGGATGTAATGCCTGAAGGTAAATGATTCTGGTTATTTAAAAAGCACCAAAATTTGACAAATACCTTTTCTGCATCATAACCTGATACATTTATAGAAATATAACGAATATAGAATGAAACTGAATGATGACTATGTCACCAAGCCACATTTGTTAATGCTCTGTGTGTATCTCAGTGTCGGATTGAAGTCTCCTTTGGATGTTTGTTTGACCCTACCAGTACCAATCATGTAATAGTTTTGAGGTGTGCGCATCAAAACATTCAGCAGATTACATAAAGACCGTTGCACTCTGATATCATATGTTTACATTGTTGCCAAACATGTGATAACAAATGTTTCTCGCTGATCTACCCAGGCTACATTCTAACTGCATGCTGTGATAACACAGCCCAAAAATTGTTTTATTAACAGGAACACATATATGTATGTTAAAAAACAATTGCAATGAAAAACGTTATTTTATTTTCAAGTGTAAATTGTCGGTTTTTGCCAACCAGCCAAACATGTTTGTATGACGGCCTATACATAGCTGGCAATGTTGTCGTCTTGGTGTAAAAAAAAAATATGGTGATGACAGTACCGTAAAATATGTATTAGAAGCCGCATCCCTAATAGAAGTCGCACCCATTCTTTTTGAACAAATGGAGAACCAAAAATTCACCATTTCTCATATGTGTGGATGCTCTAATAGAAGCCGCATCCCCTCTATTGCATTGTACCATTTTAATAGAAGCCACAGTAGTACTCTTTGAGTGCATTGGGCTATTGTTAATTTTGAACCAGAAATATATTTGTTTAGTTTGAACTTTGACCCTCATTGTCAACTTTTGTCATCTTCCACAAAATATTTCTGACTTGAAATCTTGATCAAATTAACAAAAAGTGAAAAACCAATATCAGATGCTGAGTGTGTGGTTCAGAATTATGTTGAAATTTAGGGAAAATTTATGTTTAATTTTTGGCAGCATAAATATCTGGCAGTCAAAGGATTAAAACTGATCATGGTGCTGCTAATAATGCAAATACTTTGTCACAATCTTTATTTTTAGGATGTATAAAAGATTTACTATCCTTCACCAGTTTTGGATATCTTGTGCTATTGTCTATTATAACTGGATTTGTTGGCGTCTTCAATGCCAAGTATTATACAGGTAAGATCTAACTTTAAGTCATGACAAATTCTGTTTCTGGTATTATTGAAATTTATGAATGAGGCAGTGAGATACATTTTTTTTTGTACATAACAAATTGTAGACCATTTTCATTGTGAACTATGTGTGCTATTGGCAATGATTCACAAACTTACTATTGACCCAATCAAATTACTGTCAGCAAATTGTGTTCAACCAAGTATTATTTATCTACCGTATGTAAGATATACCAGTAGAGAGAATTAGAATTTTTTTTTTTTTATCAGACCTAATGATGCCCTTTAGAGGGCCAATCAATCCACTACTGGACAGCATACTTTCTGACAAGCATTTAATACTTTGCTCTTTCTCAAACTTGATGTCCATTGTGAAACCACAGTCCTTGTTGAGGGACTGCGATGAAACCAAATAAGTTTCCTGGACTACTATATAGCTGAATTGTGACCTTTATTGAACTGACTGAATCTGTAGAGGGTGCTCTGTACCATAGTGTCCAAAAACAAGCTTATTCATCGTGACTTTATTTTTCATCTTTCAGTTACGCCTGTTGTACATAGAACCCGATTAGCGTTGTTGTTGAACACTGTCAATGTTTACACCGTATTCCATGCAATTTGTCATGGTATTGCCGCTGGTCTCATGACGTGGTGTCTAACAGCTGTTGTTGGCACTGAGTTGATTCCCTGATTATACCATGCCAAGATGATGATGTCAACAATAATGGTGGTTATTGCCTCAATGAAAAACATCTATTTCTTGTACTTCATGGTATTGTTATGGTAGGTTAATCTGTCTGCAATTTCACTCTCTTTCTTGCTCAGTTTGAGTGCTATGCTGATTTATGTAATGCAGCACATCTTCACACAACGATGTTGGTAAAATGTCCTGATCATTATTTCTATTATGAGTTTCCAGCGTTTAACCCTTTGAATGTCAAAATTAACTTGTTGACACTTTTCACTAAATAAAAAAAAATTTCATATTTAAAAATGTTGATCAATAGCCAATGGAATGGAAAATTATTATTCGTCCAAATAGTAATAGTTGCACACAAGTTTAGCTAGAAAAATAGTGAATTAATTTCTGAAGTGAAAAGTGACCTTTGATTGCTTTTATGTAAATTTTATGAACTTGACTGGGAAGTTAGAAATGCCTTCAAAAGCTTTCAATACATTTACGATGCCAAAATATGTTGCAGTGTATAGTGTGTGGCTTATGGACAGAATTGTCAATGTGTCAAATTATATTTCTTTTACAGGGTTTTCTCTACGGTATGAATTATTTCATCAAACAAGAAAATTACATGGCTTTTCCTGTTGTACAGGTAAGATTAGTTATAATATATCAGTTGTCGATATGGTTTGCTCCACTTTAGTCTTTTAATCAGAGACCCTGGTTTAGTAGTGGTCGGAATAAGTGTGTTGGTAATCATACAGTGGTGGCATCAGAATAAGGTGAATTCATTAAGAACAATAGCATCCTTGCTTCGGTAACAACAAATTTGAATGGAATTGTGAAACAACAGCACACAAAAAAAAAGTGCTAAATAAACATGTATAAATATGAAAAACAAAGAAAATGGAACGAATTGGAAATCTACGACAACTGACCTGATGGCAACTAAAATGTGTGATTAGTTAACAGGGAGACTTTTAGAACAAAAGTAAAATATATTGAAGGAGTATGAAAACATTGTAAAGAAGGTATCCAGTGGTGTTCATGTAGTTTTGCTTGTTGATACGAGTATTGTACTAAGCTTCTGTATCAACTGAAATTATTCCAATAAAATCCAACTAGATTCTTGTATTTTTATATATTTCTTGCATCATGGAATGACATGAATCCTTGTAATTGTTATAAATATTCTGATTCTATTTGTATATTTCAGCAAGCCAAGTTGTTTCGCATGAAGAGCTACCTTGCTACCTGTGTATTGAACTCAGCCTGGAAAACACTGACATCCATGAAGTACTTGTATCTTGTTTACTATCTTCTAGGTACTGTAAAATACTTTATTTTAGCTAGAATTAATTTTTGCTGAGAAAATATTTTGGGTGTTTTGTATGGAGTTTATTTTCATCGAGTTGAATGTAAAATATAGAGAAAAGAGGTATATTTGCTGGAACTTATTTTCACTGAATCATCCCTTCACGGAAAATAAATTATTTCACAGTAACCATTTATTATGCTTGTAGTTGAAAGCATACCATAGATTTATTAGTGCATGGAGTACTCTGCTGAGCCAACTAGTTACATAAACCATTGACTGTGCTTTTCAAGTTCTTGCATTATCATCTACAGCATAAGAATTGTTCATTCACAAAATCATAGGGAGTAGGAAAAATATTTAAAAAAATTTTTGTTACAAAAATAACTTTTTTTTATCTATTTGTATATGGGCAATTGGCAATGTACATAACGTAATTATTCATAAAGATCATTGATAAGCAGAGCATTCCATTCTGTAATTAGGTGGTGAAGGCTATTCACCAGGGTAGTCCATTATACAGGAGGGGGGTAGATAGAAATATATTTCGTAATTTTTTTTATATAAATTTTCTTACTCAAAACTGTGACAAAACTTAAGATCAGTATGAGATAACTTTGAATGAGCTTAGGTTCGAAGCTTTAATAAAATAAAAATCTTTAGCTAGGTATTTATACTGTATGTGTGATATCTTTTGTTTTCTGATTTTAGGAGTATTTCCAAAAACCTGGATTATAGAGAATTTTAATTTAGAAGGTACAAATACTGTGCCATTGGACTCTATGATGGGTTTGCTGGATGTGTATTTATTCTGGCTAGTGTTGACAACTGGTACATTGGTCTATACACTGTGGTATTTTACACTTCAAGTGTTCAAAGTATTCAACACTCAGGTAATGGTATACTGTGATTGGTTAAAAGTAGTCATGTGAGAGTTAGACAGCCAATGGGATTAGAGAACCTAGACAAATACTATGCACTACCCAACCAAAAATATTCCATTACACAGAGCTTTCACAGCTCTAACCATGACCAAGACTACACTGGACACTGCCAATAAAGACAACTGCGAAACCATTTCTGCCAACAGTATTATACACAGAAAATGTTGCATATGCGTCTTTTGACAATTAATTTTTTTATGCTACATATCCATAGGCATTTTCATTCCCTGTGGAGTCAACCTTTGCTGAAGATGCAGACAAATGTCTACCCATGGTGATGGCCGAAAGACAAATACCACTTGTCCAGTTTCTAGCATTTCTGGATCTCTCGATGTTAGCTGAACATAGTGTACACAGAAGAAAGCAGATATTCAGTCTGAGCCAGCCAGGTTTGTTTGTTGTTTTGAATCCTAACTGTATGTGAACTTGAGCGACAGTACACTTGTCTAGTGTGTTTGCCTCACATCAGGGTAGACTGTTTACTCAGTAGTATAAGTACATTCTTCTGTCTTCCAAACACACGTTATTATGTTTGGAAATCTGGTTTACATATGAACATGCAATTAGTACCATAAAACAAAAAAGTGTCAGGAGAGACAGCAGTGACTTCAATGTCCAAAAGTGTTTCCTGGCACAACATTTTAAAAAAGAAAAAAATTAATCACTTCTAATTTGACTTTTATCAGTGTGTTCAAGTTCATTCATCATGTACTTCATATCCTTCTTTGCATTCGTCACATTTGAATTATTTTTGTGTGTGATGTTTTTGGGACTACTTTATTTCACGCATCATACTTTTGTAATGTTATATGAGGTGGTGTATGTCACCTGATTGCCCATATGTCATTCATTGTTTCGCTATTGTTTCTTTGGTATATTGCTCATTTAGCTCATCACAATATGATTGATATTTAAGGTATCAACAATGCTTTAATATTGCTGCATCGCGTCGTGTCGTGATCTTAATATATTTGTGTACTCGTATTCAATCTCTGGCAAGAATAGATGTCCTTCTCAGTGGTGGATTAAATCTGTTTCGTATCTCACAGGTGGTCATGCTCACAACTGGAACTACATATCTAAGGAGTGCCTAGCAACAGTAGAAATATTAACAAATAATTTATTATTGTTTCAAGACAATGTACAAGTTGATGGTTTAAGACAACAACGAGTTAGTGGTAAGTTCTTTTAGCTTTTACATGTTGCGAGTTCAGTTATATTGAACAGCGCCCTCTCTGGCAACTACTAAAATGATTTTGTTTGTGCATAACTTTCTAGAATTTACATATTTCTTCTGCAATTGGACACAGATTGATGCAAATGTCTTCATTGTTGTCCATTTCCCAACAGATTGATTGTGCATTGACAGAAATGTCGCTTTTCTTGCAACAAATTATGCACTCACTCATTTTTACCCTGATTATTACTTCAGATCAGTCCAGATTGTATTGTAATTTTATATTCTAAAAAACTGACCTTTTGCTCATTATTTTGTTAGTGTTAGTTATTGATATAACTCCAGATTATGAAGTGTTTAATTTCAAGATGTAACCCTCATATTTTCAGGTCCTACAGCCACACCAACATGTCATCCCGTCAAACAATTATTTAGCTCCCCTACTCCCTACATCAAGCCAGCCATTACTGGTGCTACTGGGAAAGACAGTCCACTATGGGATAGTTCAGTAGCGCAGAGTCCAGCTGTTTACAGGACACATGCTTCAATGTTAAACAGAACTGAGAGTCCTCTGTGGGACGATACTTACGCACAAAGCCCTGCTGTGTACAGACATACAGCAGCTGCCAAAGAACTGATGGGTGAGTCTTGACAATGAAGATTTCACATTTCAAAAAATAACTTTTCCTATATTTTTCCTTAAGTCCTGTGGTAAATAAAAAATTATGTCCATTTGTTCCATTATTATTATATTTAAATACATAAAATGTTCAAAAATGTACCAACATTTTGAGTTCAGAGTTTAAACTACTAGTAATTAAAACGAAAGTCAGTATTATTTGTTCTGGGATCATTATATTTTTATAAACAAAGAGGCGTTTACAATCATTGATTCTTATCTGCTGTTTGCAGGTGCCAATGGCATAGACAAGTCTACAACAAAACAATCTACTTCACCGAAAAAATCTTCGTTCATTGAGAACCTGAAGCGAAGATCTTTAATAGCGTACTTCATTAGCCCTTTACCCGAGGTACCTAGCCGAGAAATATTCGTAAACGCACAAGTCAATATATGGACTATAGAAGGTGAGTACAGCGCCCTCTATAGTTAACTAACTGATGCATTGTGACAAACATTAAAAACAAGCGGCTAGGAGTCTGACAATTTAAATAAGTTTTTTTATTATAGCCATATTCACTGTTTTTGCCGGTTTTTCTAACCTTTGTACAATGTTTACATCTATGTTCGTTTCTAGTCTTAGTTTTCTGGTAAAAATGTTTCCGGAATTGTCATTGATGTTTTGTGAATATAATAATTAATACAGTGTTTGAAATTTCTCAGTCCTGCCAGAAAATTACCAGCCTTGCAAAAGAGATTAAACAAAACAAAAGGAATGGCATTCAACTTATCAAATAATACTATTATTAAAGTACCTGGCATGATGTAACTTTTTATTGTCTCAGGCATAATGGCGGGCAGTAATTTCAAACAGTATTTAATCACAATTTTTCATAACCATTCTCTAATAATTGTGTGTGTGTGCGTGTATTTTAGTATCATTCAAATTTAATCCCACTCAGTTTTATTTTTATTTCACAGCATTGTCTAGACTTGTTGCAGCATCATATACCGAAGATCAGTACGGAGTTGTGCAGCAGTCGCTACACGATATCCTCACTGCCATGTTAACTTTACAAATTGTAAGTACGGTTACAAACAAATGAAAACAAGCATTCACAACCTGCCTGTGATAAATTTACAAGTAACATACACGCATCAGGATCAATCAAACCATCTTAGATATGACATGATTTCTACCGAATTATTGTCTAATGTTGCTGTAGAATGTCACCAAAATATAATTTATCTTTCGATTATTTAGAAATGTTGGCTGTGATAATGTGAGCTATGTGTTAGCTTTTTTTTTTCATTGCACACCATTCCAATATGAAAAGTGAACCTGACAAAATTACACATGATACCAATGTTACAGTCATCATAAAAAATAGTTCAATGCGACTTCCTTTATAATAGTGTTTGTTTTGAAATATGTTGCTAAGCTATGATTATTTATGCAAGAAGACATTCAATTCAGACAAACTGATTAGTAAACAAAATCTAAAATAGTGTATTTTTAACTGTTGTGATGTTTATGTATTATAAACCAAATGGATGTAATCTCCCATTTGCTACTGAAAAAACGCTGAGGGTTTATTCTGTCAAGCCAAGAGAAATTAATAAATTTGTTTCTGATCCACACACCATTAAAATGGGCTACTCGTATTTTATTAGGTAATCTAAGAAGAAGAAAAACAAAAAAAAAGAAGAAAGACACCGCTTGGTGGTGCACAACTTTATCATGCATGTCCAGAATTCAATGGCATGTGTTGGTCTGCTATTGGAATGCTAATTTCTCTGCATATAATGCATCACCAGCCCCATAATTTTTTCAAGAAACCTTAAGGCAGAAACGAATCTATTTTTTGTATGCACTTGTGAGAGTAGTTACATGTATGTTTGATATTTAAAAGCTGAAAGTTCAGTCAACCATTCTTGTATATCAATCATTTTCCTTTCCTTTTATCTGGCATCTCTTTCAGACGCTTGATAAACACTTAAAACTGCCAGTACTTGCAGCCAAGTTGTCTAGACAAACAAAGACAGCTGAAGAAAATCTCAAATTCTGTCTGCGAACAACATTGAAGTGCGCCCTCTACAGAATAGTGGCAACATTTGGAGAGCATTTAAGGTAAATTATTTGTCTCTCATTTTTATTGTGTTGTTTGGTTCAGGTGTTCAAGTCAATTCTCAACTGTTATTGTTATTGTCATGCACTTGGTTCTGTTGCCTCAACTGCATTCTTCCATCAGCCATTAGACAACTTGTGTTATTTCCCTCATCAACTCCTTGTGTTTTCTAAAAATGTAGTGTGTGATCCATCAATGTTATTACAAGAAGACAGTACTGTAAATTACTTTATTTTTACTTGGGATTTATCTTCACAGTTTTCACTGAATGAGTGAAGCAGTGAAATAGAATCCAGCCAAAATACTTTTTTTTTTTCTGTATTTTTCATTCAACTTGTCAATAATCAGTGAAAATAACCTTCATACAAAACAGTCAAAATGTCTTTTTAGTGTAAATTAATTCCGGCTAAAATAAAGTATTGTACAGCAGTGGCCACTGGAAAAGTAGTGTATGGTGTTGGAATGTCAAGTTGCTCATATCTTTACTAATGCTTTTTCACCGCTAGAATAATTACTATATTGTCACCTAACACTTGTATTAAATCTGTCGGCAGCAGTACTCATTTATGATTATGAAATGTTATTATAAATAGAAATGATGAAATCGTAGAACAATGTTCAGCGTATGAAACGGGTCAAATGCACGCATGTACACTGATATTATTACTCCTGATTGTTACTATGCTGTGGCTTTTCAGTGATTTGTAGGATGCCTCAAGGAGTTCATTTTCTCAACAAATATTGCAAACCATAAATTAAATCTATTCATAAATATTTAATTAATCAAATTACGTAATGCTTAAATGATTTTATGTCATTTATTGCCCTGATCAATGGATGCATTAAAACAGTGCCCTCAGGTGTCTGGCAAGTATCAAAATTATTTTGTTTTTCCTGGGCCTCGCAATAACTTTTTTACTGTGAGTGTTTAACTTAGCAGTCTTTTTTTTTATTTTAAGCTTAAAAGTCATATATAGGTGAATAGAGCACTGACTTGATTAATTATTGCATGAATTCTGTGCATAATATTTACCTAATTTGCTCAATAATTAGACAATTTTCAGCTGCTTTAAGGATATTTTTATTGGAATTTTGTGCATAAATGCTCTGGGATACTCCATATTTTGAATTTAGGGTTGAATTGAAATAAATTATCTATTTTTTGGCTGTTCAATTTCAAATTGTGTCTCAAGAACCTCTCATCAGATTTCAATGAAACTTCGTGCATATGTGCTCTGGGGTAATTAAGTGGCATAACTATTTTAGGGTTGAGATTGCATATTAATGACCTACTTTGCATAAATTTGACAGCTTTCTGACATTGGTGCCCCCTTGTAGGTGTTCTTGAATGCTACAGACCACAAGTATACAATCTTTTATTTTAATATTCTTAGTGTATTATAAACTTCAATACTGTGGATCACATTAATCAAAGTAGAATTACCGATATATTAGAAGACAGGTTTTCTGTCTATAAGACTAATATTAAATTTCTTATTTCTACATCATATGTCTCCAATACCCTTAGAGCACGAGAGTTCTTTCTAAGCTTTCATTGTCTATATTATAGAAAAGTTGAAAACACTGTTGTTAGTCCATAGCTTTTATACAATTTTGTTCCATTCTATTTGGTACACAGGTATTCTGCATCACTGAAACTTTCAGTGTTTTGTTTAATCACTGTATGCGTACAAATAAATAAACAGTTTTTTATCACATCACATTTCACTTATTAGTAGTCTCTGTTTTTAATTGAAACCTGTGAGCTCTGTCTGATTCTATTTCAGTTAAAAAATTGACTGGCAAATAGGAGTTCATTTCCACCCAAAATGTTGATGAGAAAAAAGTTAATTTTGATTTAATGTTGTCGCCAATAATGAGAATAAAAAACAGTTTTTTTTTGTTGCATTGCAAGAGTTCGTATGCAAGTACTAAATCATTCTAATTTACTACAGTAACTGTAATATTGTCAGTAGTTTTGAAATTGCTATAAATTTCTATCAACTTTGAAAGTTGCAATAAATAAAAAAAAAATTACAATCATCTAAAAATAGAACTCAAAATTGCTTAACTCTTTGCATGTTTTCATTCAATAGCAACGGTTGATTGCCATGCTGTTGTCATGACAGTGGTTTTCGGATGAACAGTGTTGCTTAGCGACTGTTAACAATAATTGTTGGGTTCATTTACATATTTTATTACTTTATTTTACATTTAATACTGAGAGTGAGTAACTCTGTCACCAAATGTTATCATTTTTACAGTTTTCATCGCTTTTTTTTGGTGTCATCCTGAATTCTTGTCAGCATATGATTTACATGCTGATACTCCCATATTTGGAAACTACTCCCATATTTGGAATCAACTCCCATATTTGGAATCAACTATAAATAGCAGCTCATTATGATAATCGGATTCAGTATTTAAAATATATATATATTCTGTATACTGTGAGATACTTATTTTCCCTTCGAATTCAATTTCACAATTTTCGCTGAAGGGATGATACATTGAAAATGTAACCCAGTGAATATATAGTTTTTTCTAAATTTTACATTCAACTAAACAAAAATCAGTGATAATAAATTAAAATAATATATTTTACAATAGTCTGTCTGTTTTTAATGTATTCTATTTTTAGCCTGTGTCTGCATAAATTACTTTTACCAATAACTCTCACCTTTGGTCAACTTTTAATCTGCTTTCTCTCTTTTAACAAGGTCTATAATATTCAATCTGAAATATTTTTGCACCTTATTTTTATGACTGGAATATAATAATAGTGATTAAGCTGTGCGTGACAGTTTTATGCCTCAGGTGTTGTTTTGAATGTTCTATTCATGCCGTTAACAACCAATGACCTTCAGTCAGGTTTGGAGTATCTGTCTATAGTAAATGGTAACACTTTAGTGGTGTATTTGTGTAATGCATACCACATGTGTATGCAACTAGTGTGCTATGAGATGAGGATGAATATTGAGAAGTTCACGATATCCACAGTCAGCTGGCGTACAAGTGATAATAAAATAAATGCGATTAGTTTACCATTATTTACTACCGTAAAATCTGTATTAGAAGCCGCATCTCTAATAGAATTCGCACCCATTCTTTTTAAACAATTGAGAACCAAAAATTCATCATTTCTCATATGTGTACTTGCTCTAATAGAAGTCGCATCCCCTCTGTTGCATTGTACCATTTCAATAGAAGTCGTGGCTTTATAGTATATGGGGCAGCTTTAAACTAAATAAAGATGAAAGTTGAGAAATAGGTTTTTCAGATTCCTATAAATCGGGCAAAAAAAAAATTTCACAGCCAGATAATTCATTTTGTCTGAATTTGTCATTTTTGTATACGAACACCTCATTAGATGAAGAACAGAGATCACTTTTCCAGGGTATTTGAAACCAAAATCGTCATCTAACTCTGTAAGGTTGTCATTGATTGGCTCCTGAGCTGAATGACAATTTTGGTTTAAAAAGACGCTGGAGGCGTATGCATTATGGTTGAATTGTATTAATGATTGACTTAATATTATCCCAATCGATCATTTGGCTGTGAAAGTTTAGAAATTGGAAAAACTTGTTTCTCAACTCTTCAGTAAATTATATCACAACACTGGATGTGGTTATTCTCGTTACATTTTTTTTAATTTTTTCATTTTCAATAACACTCGCACATCCCCCTGAAGGGATGAAAATGGTTACAACAACTATAATAAATGCAAAAGGTATAAAAAAATAAACAAAGCACAATACACACACATACAACATGTAAACAAACAAAACAAATTGAAAAAAACAAAAAAACACCTAGGATTGACCTTGCTTGATTTCTAATACAGTCTTTATAAATTTTGCTACATTGATGCGAACAAGTAGGTTCTTACTGGAAATTAATTCAGTGCACTGTACCTCTGGTGATTTACTATCAAAATTGTGCATGTTTGAATAGGCAATGCTGAATGGATCTTTTCTGAGATCCTGGTATTTATTGCATATCCCACCTAGTTTTGATTATTATATCACATCACTGGGTTCAAACCTTGTACATTTTTAGTCCCTGTTCGGACGTAGTCCGAAAACGGGGACTTATGTTTTGCCCTGTGTGCATCCGTGCGTCCGTGATCACCTGTATCTCGAACTACATGGACCGATTAAGTTCAAACTTCACTCATACATCACACATTATATGGGACATATGCACATGCATTTTTTTCATGATCCGATTAACGATAGCCGAATAGCGGCCATTTTAAGGCCGAAAATGCATCAAAATCACATTTTTTCACCATTCTGGACCCGGATCTCAGTTATGCATGGACGGATTTTGTTCAAATTTGGTACATACATTAAACATAATAGGACCTTGATGCACGTCATTTTTTTTTCTGGATCAAGTTCGAAATTGCCGACTGGCGGCCATTTTGTTTTAAAGAATTCAGTTCTGGATCCGTATCAGAGACATGTCTGGATTGATCAAGTTCAAACTTCACACACACATGGTACATCATGTCACAAATAGATATGTGCATTTGTTTCATGATCCGCTTAACAATAGCTGAATGATGGCCATTTTAAGGCCGAAAATGCATCAAAATCACGCATTTTCACAATTCCGGAACCGGATCTCAGTCATGCATGGATGGATTTTGTTCAGATTTAGTACAATGTGTTGTACATATACAGATGCATTTCGGTCATGATCTGCTTTGAATGTATATGTCACTCAAATATGAACGGAACGGGGACGTGTCATTGACAATGACTTGTTTAAAGTTGGTAATTCATGAGAACTATGTATTGCAATTACACTGGTCCAATGCAGTGCTGTGCTAAACATAATAATTAGGTTATTCATGGCTATTTTGAATAGATTGCTGAATACAGCTGTGCAATTAATTCTAGCAATGAGATGGTGTTAATACATTACACCCTTTTGATTTAACTGCATTAGCTTCCATTGAAATATTACGTGGAGTTCAAGATTTTGTTGCTTGTTTTTAAGGCACTATATGCAAGGCACCGAAATACTTTTGTGAAATAGCAACATCCTATTTGCCATCATTGTTTTTGTGGTCATCTTTTGCTTCACTTCTGGTGATCTCGCTTTGCGACTTGTGTTGACAGAGCATTTGCAGTGGCCATTAAGGGTATGGAACATGACATGCATTGACGTTAATTAAACTTTTATTAAGACATTTGAACTATGAAAACCCGGTAATTAATTTCTATCTATTATTGTTTATGATTTTTTCATTAAAAATTGTCATGTGCTTTTTAGCAATTTTTATTGTAAAAGTGCGCTATAAATAAATAAATCATTATTATTAGTATGTGAGATAATGCGTGGTATTGCCAAGAGCAATATTGATAGTTTTTTCAAATGCGTAAAATTGCATCATGGGGTGACATGTGTGTCATAGACCTTCCAGAATCTCAATGTATACTTTGTGAGAATTATGACCTTGAAAAAGACGCATTTGACTAAAAGCTTGTTACAGTTTGTTTGCTGTAATAGCATTTGAAAGTTCTGTTTCATTGTGATTGAAGTGAAAATAATAACGCAAATATTGGCTAATCTTCCTGCAGTTCACTAAAATTGTGAATTTGTCATCAACAGTTAATTGATTTCCGTACAAATTTGACACTTTTTAGTCGTACCATTGTCAAACCTCGTTTATGTATACATAACATGTGCTGGAGTTCTCATGCATTTTATCAAAACCTGTAGAATCATAAAATGTCATCTATTCTTTGTTTAAGTTTAAATTAGGAAAAAAAATATTTGTAATGTTTAACCCAAAAAATCAATTTTGTGTAATTGAGGATTTTCTTCTCACCAAATGTCATGCCATTAGTTTTATAATATACGTGAATACCGAATACGGGAATCCGGGCGGAAATCTGTAAAATTAGGTGTGTAAAAATTCACTTGTGTGTTCAGTACATAAAATATTTGCTTGATAGGTTTTGACAAATGAACGTTAAGGTTCTTTTGTTGCTAATTTACTTATCATTTATTTATTTATGCTTATTTGGACAGGGTTGTCTCAATAGTGACAAGCTGCTTTATGGCGGGGCTTTGTAAATTGTGTACATACACACATACAAAACATCAAAAGTCTATACAGCGCTGTAGCTAATATACACAGGGAAAAAAAATACAATAGCAACAAATTACTCAGTTAAAAGCCGTTTTTACAATTTTTTTTGTTTAAATGAATAAATAGTTGTTGATTTCAATGCCATTTTATGACTTTGCCTCCTGTATACAAAAACGTTCTCTTCTCGCTATTAATGCTTACTTTTGGTAAGTTTGAATTATGATTACTGGAAAATTTAGTTAATTTGGTGGGTTGGTGAATTTTAAGTTACAAGTGGGTATTCCAACATCATTAATTCCCCTGTAAGTCATGAAAAATGAAGATGATGACATTTATGATAAAATTAGTCTCGTCACTAACCTTTTCACCACCAAATTTGTCTGTACTTTTCTGGAAATAAACCCTAATTTTGGAACCAACAGACATTTTAGTCAATTTTCAGTTTTTACTCAAAAAATTTGGCTATTTCTGTCCCAATTTTCTGAAGGAGAGTGCAGAGTCTGTCCGTCCCTCCCTCCCTCCGTCTGTCCGTCCGTCTGTCCGTCCGTCCCTCCCTCCCTCCCTCCGTCTGTCCGTCTGTCTGTCCGTCCGTCCCTCCCTCCCTCCGTCTGTCCGTCCGTCCGTCCGTCCGTCTGTCCGTCCGTCCGTCAGTCCGTCCGTCTGTCCGTCCGTCCGTCTGTCCGTCCGTCCGTCAGTCCGTCCGTCTGTCCGTCCGTCCGTCCGTCCGTCCGTCCGTCCGTGTGTGTTGTGGGCTGTGTGTTCTGATATCACATGAACCTCTCATTGAATTTCAATAAAACATAAGCCCTCTGGGATACTCCTTCTTTGTTTGGAGTTAAAATCAGTTCATATTCAATTTCCTAATTGCATAATAAAAATGAGATTTATGACTAAGTTTTATGTTAGAATCAAATTTGATACTGTGGATTGAATTGCTTTCACATCGTACATCTCAAACAGACATATATCAACTGACCAAATTTTTAATGGAGTTTAAATATTACCAGTAAATATGTCTCCAAACTTATTATATTAACTCATATTAAACTTTCTTTGATTGAACATTAATGATATTTCTGTAAAAGAAAATATATTAATTCTGTCATTTGTTAATGGCAAAACAAGTCATCACAGGATTACCAACCATTGGCCATATTGGTAAATTTCAGATAAAATTGTGTCGGTCAAATACAGGTACTTTACACAGATTATTGTACACAGATGAAACTTTTAGTTTATAAAAGACTTCCCAATCACTATGCACAAATTAAATCTTAAGGTTTTTTTGGTATCCCTGGAAACCGAAATGATCATAATTCTAGAATTAATCGATGAAATGTGTCGTCATATCAACTGGAAAGGGGAATTGTCATAGCTACAAGCTACTGCCATTGATGCACTCTTATTTTCAGCAACTGTGTGGATTTTAATAATATTTTG